TCCTGTGCACCTTATGGTCCGAAAAATACGGTAATCTGGCTGTTCCAGCTCTCCCTGGGTTTGGGGTTTTCCATTGGTCCGTCTCAGAGTGGGTCTAAAACTTTTCAGGTGCAGCAGTAACAGCCGAGATCGAGTGCAGATGCACCACAGTGGTTTAAGCAAAGTCGACCGTACACAAATGTTAAATGCAAATGCACTGATGGTGTTTCACTACTTAAATGACCCTCTTGATGTGTGCGTGTTTGTGTAATATGTGTAAATGTGCTGAGTCTGTGATGAACTGTGTTGATTTCATTCTGCTGCTTCAGCTCTGACCACGGAGGCAGAAGTAGCATCGACACCACATCCTTTGCTTTTTAATCACGTATGACAGGATCCTGCTGATACCTTTGTGCAGCTGCAGAGACAACACGCAGCGTCACACTGACCGCCCTCAGGTGAACTGACAGCTGCTAGGATCAGGCTCGTGTCTACATCTGTACCTGTAATTTTCTCCTGTTTAGCTGATAAGCCAGAGTTCATAAAATACTTGCTAGCCCTCCTAAGTGATTCACTGCTCACCTGGTGGATGTTACACAGTCTTACCATCCACCTGGTGAGCACCGCCCCGCCCAGGATCAGGTTAGGGTTGTATTTTTGGACTCCGGGGTACCTGGAGAGGTAACGCGCAAGCGCCACACTGGATTTGAACCCTACTCATGCTCATGCTGAGACCTAGTTATCGGGCGATGGCGCTAATCGCCGCGGCGCGCCTGCACATCGTGGACTGTTTATGGTTTTTACAAAAAAAGTCTGTCATGTATGCAGCTGGCGCTCAGCTCGGCCCGAATAGAAGCCAGACAAACGTAACCGCGTTCGATTTCCTTGAAATTGAAGTTGACACAGAGTGATGACAATCATCTGCCACAAGATAAGAACCCACATCAATCCACTGTTGGTGCGCTGAAAATGTTTACAGCAGACACAAACGTGTTACAGCCTCAGCGTCGTCACCTCACTCAGCTTTGGATTGTTTGGCGTCTGTTTTCGTTCCCTCTCTGTTCCCTGTAGGTCTCAGTCTCATTTGTCTTTCTGAGTTTATTCTTCTGTTCTAGTTTTCTTTCTGTCCTTTGAGATTGTCCCCACCTGTCCTCATCTTGTAATCAGTTACCTGATTATTTAAAGCCCTCTCTTCTCTCTAACGCCTGTTTTTTCCCTGCTTTTGCATGTTCGCCTCAGTTGTGTGCAGTTCTGTGTCGGATCACTGGAGTGTCCCGATTACGTTCCCACCTGTTAGCGGCGATGAAGCCCATGAACATAATGCTGGCGTACATGTTCAGGTAGAAGGCGGAGGCGCCGAAGTTGCAGTAGACCTTGCGGATGATCTCAGACTTAATGTTGGCGTACTTCATAATTCGCAAAGGGAGGCAGAGGCTGATGAGGAAGTCGGCCGCTGCCAGGTTCTTCAGGAAGATGGTGACGCTGGACACGTGCCGCTGACCCCTGAAGA